CAATGTTGCCCTCTACAGAATCCACCCCCCAAACCTCCAGGTATTTCCCTCCTTAGAGCTGGCAACCCTACATTCCCCTCAGTGCCTGTTGGTAGGCAACTAAGCTTGGTCCTGTCACCTACTTTGGCCTTTGGGAGAAAACACATTGGGGCCAGTCCTGATAGGGTTGCCAACTCCAGATGGGAAATTCCTGGAGATTTGAGGGATGGAGCCTGAAGAGGGTGAGGTTTGAGGAGGGGTCTGACCTCAGACAGATACACTGCCATAGACTCCACCCTCCAAACCAGTCAGTCCCACATAGGGAACCATTGTTGCCAATCTCCAGGTGAGGGCTGGAGAGCACTCAGAATTACAACTGCTCTGCAGAAGGGAGGGCAGAAGTCAGCTGAAGTCAAAGGGGCAGATAATGGTAGGTTGATGGTTAGCTGGGAAGGAGATGGGGTTGCCAACTACATGCTGACAAATTCCTGGGGATTTGAGGGGTGGAGCCTGGAGAGGGTGGGGTTTGCAGAGGGGTGGGACCTCAGACAGGTAGAATGCCATAGACTACACCCTCCAAACCAGCCACTTTGTCCTGGGTAACAATTACTGCCAATCTCCAGGTGAGGGCTACAGATCACTCACAATTACAACTGCTCTTCAGGTAGCAGAGATCAGTTCCTCTGGAGAAAACAGTGGACTCTGTCATTATACCCTGCTGAGGTCACCACAGCAAATTGACACTCTTTGCCCAAAGCCAGAGCACTCCCCCAGAGCCTCTTTCTAGATCTCGTTGTATTGCTTTCACAACGGGCTTTACTGCTAGTGTATTTATAATGGAATCGTGAGTATCGTGGCATTGTGATTTTGCAAAGATCAGGTGGGTATCATAGGGTATCAGGGAGTGTGTGTTGAATTATCTGCCTCACAACAATCTTGTGATATAAGCCAGGGTCAGAACACAGGAACGGATAAAGATTTGAATCTGGGTTTACTTTGCCCTGTTCTAATAGCTACACTCGGAGCCCTGTTCAGGCCTTCTTTTCTATGTTGGCTGAACAGATGGCATAGGTAGGAGGCAAATGTGCACCTACTGTCATAGTAGTGCCTCTTATGTTCAGCAGTAGGTCTAAACAGAGCCTACATGTATTCAACAATATGTTCCTCTCCCTTCTCCATGTGTTCAGCCTACACGCGAGTGTAGGTGTGAACAGGGCTTGGTTGTAGGTCACTTAGGAGTTTAGTTAGTAAAAATTTGAACAGTTTGGTCTATGAAGTCTAAAGCTAGTACAGAAAGACAGCCTTGGCTAAATTCTCAGCTAGGCAATGTGCTTCAGAGAAATGGTAATATCCTTTCAAAGTGTAAAGAGTTCTAAAGACGATTGAACATTCAGCATCCATATTATCACCTCATGCCCAATACAGAGCAGCAAGAAAGAAGAGACATAATGTAAATGTGAATGTAAACACAGAAATTCAGCATTTAAATATTTTCCTTTAATATATGGCTGCAAAGTCATAAAGTTGGATTGCCCTGATTATTTGTTGGCTTTCACAGGGTGAAATCCACATCTCCAAGTTCTAGATTTTAACAGGTTTGTGATGTAGTCCAATATCAATAGATCTCATTCTGAACATAACCAGATCTGTGGATACTTAAATCCAGAGACTGGAGCCATGAGTAGTTAGAGTATCAGACTAGGGTCTGAGAGTCCCAGGTTTGAATTCCCACTCTGCCATGGTGTTCATTGAATAACTTTGGGCCAGTCACACATTCTTAGCATAACCTGCCTTACATGGTTGTTATGAGAATAAAATGGAAGATATTAAAATGATGTTAGACACTTTGAGTCCCCATTAGCCACAGTCAGCTTAAGCTTTAAAAAATGGGCACCAGTTGAATATCTGTTGAACAGAAAGACTATGGGAAGCGGGTGTCTAGTGTTCTAACAGTACTCACTGAATGCATAGTATAGTGTCTCTCTTGCTGCCATTTATTTATTCCCAAAGTTATGCCATTTGCTGACTGTGTCCACTAGATGTCAGCAAAGAACATGCATGTCTCTCAAGCTTTCGGCATCAGTCATTACGCCAGGACTAACACAAGCCATTCAGTATTTCACTGTCATGATGTAATGGTCAGCATGAACAATAGCATGTAATCTGGTTATTTCTTTAAAATGTGTAGGACAGAGACAAATCTTCCTGAATTAGAAGAGCATGAATACTTCCTTCCCAAACTTCCAAGGAAACCATTCTGAGACTGAGCTACTTGACTTGTATGTTAAGCGATTGAGACCATTTTTCACATTTGAGACATAAACCAACTTTGTTTTATTTCTGCTCCAATTACAATTTAAAGCCTGCATTGGATGGAACGTTTGAAGTGTTTTAAGTTTTTGGAATTATCTTCTGCATTCACAGTATCTGTATATATCACATAAACTTATGAGACAATTTCCAAAGTACTTCTTATAGCCCCAGTTACATGTCTCATGCAAATACATACAAAGAAATGCTGAGGGTTGCCTTTTTTATATTTTTAAGGAAAAGCAAATTCCAGAGGGGGCAGCTTTCAGTGGCGAAATGTAGAAGGGGAGGGACTCCACACTTTTCCCACCTGCCACTTTTCCTCCTTAAATTCCCCTCTTGGCAAGTAAACCTGCAAAGGGAGACATTATGTAGGGGGTGATTTTGAGTGGAGAATTGGTAAGCAGGGGAAGCTGAAAGCACCTTCCTATGCCACTTTTCTAGTTCACTTCATTGCAAGGTTACTTTCCCCTTTTTTAAAAAAGAGGCTGTCCTACTTCTGTTAGACATATTTGCATGCAATATGTAGTTAAGTATCTTAGTATGAAAATGGCAATACTGTTTAACATTTCGGTTTCTCGTGAGAAAACAGTGGAGTTTAGCGAGACATGCACTTACAGCCTAATGAACCTAGAACAGAAGGGAATCCTATAGATTTGTTTGGATAGATGCTGGTTACAATCTTCCCTTCTTCTTCAGAGACTGCTGTACCATGAAGTGTCCCAGTTGGACAAACTCAGAGCACACTTAGGCCACTTCCACATCGATGTTTTGTTCTGCCTTGGCTTCCTTACCTCAGCATTCTCTTGAGAGCATCCACATGATGTCATCCTGTATTTGTCCTGCTTCTGTGTTTCCCTCTCTTTACTGCAATATTTCCCAAATGTGTTTTGTATGATCTTTTTGGAAAGACTACAGTCAAAGTGTCATTGGGTGCCATGTGGAAGGGAAGGTAATAGTGATGTATTACAATATTGTACCAGTTCCATTTTTAAAGAAGAAAGTTTCAATCCCTTTTTGTTACAGAGTTACAAGGAGGAATGTACAGAGCATACCTTTCCCCTTATGACTCTGCAGTGAAAGGGCTAGAGGCTTCATTTTTTAAAAAAAAATGAAAGCTGAGCATTGGTATGTTGTTGCAAAACACCATTATAATGTTACTCTGCTATAACAACCTGTCAGTTAGTGATGTTTTTAAAAGCCCTCTAGTGGGGGGTGGAAAAAATTATGGCCATAGGTGGCTAAGGTAAGGAAAGTGTGATGTATCATGTGGATATTTCATTGTCATTGAAAATGCAGAGGCATTTGCAGCAGCGATAAGAGCAACCCAGGGAATGGTCTCAATGAGAAAGCAGCCTAATTTTCTGGGTTATGGGCCTTCACATCTCTAGTTATTGCTACCACAAAACTGATCTTGAGCTTGTCACAGTTTCTCTAATTTTATTAAAGGTTATACATAGTGCTGTACTATTTAAATAAATATGGGGTAACCCTGGTGTTTTCATCACAACAAAAACTAACTTCTAACCACCTAGGGGACCCCGAATTGGGTGAAAAGGTTGCAAAGAAATGTTTAAATGCATAAATAGATAAACCTAACAAGTTAAAAAGCTCCATTTAACAAATATTGGAGCCAGTATAGAAAGTAACTGGTTAAGAAATTAATTATCTACCCCCACTAAATGGTGTAAAGTTAACATATAAACAAGAAGTGATAAGAACGTCACACTCATTCATTTTTACGTCCTAGAACAGATCATTCTGATGTGAAATGTTAAATAAGGCCCTGTTCATACGAGGGGTTTTGGTCCGGGAGCGAGACAGAACGGGGGCGGATCAAACGGGCACGATCCCACGGCAACATCTGGGAATCGTTGCCTGCCCGTCTCCGATCCGTCTCTCCCAGCCGAAAACCCGCACCAAAAAGAACCACCTAACCTGGGTGGTTCTTCCAATTGAAGCGCCTCAAGCCGGCCATGGGATCAGCCGGCGCGTCCTTGTGCCGGCACATCCCGGCTGAACTGCGCATGCTCAAGCATGCGCAGTTCTGCAGCCTCCCCTCCCACTCGCCTCTTCCTCCCCGGCATCTGATCGTGCCGGGGAGCAACGGCGTGTGGCTAACGGGATCCGTGGGATCCCACCGCGGCGTTTCTTTTTTGGCGTGGCTTTTAAAAGCCGTGCTTCGCCTCGTGTTTTCCCTGCTGTGTGGCAGGGGCTTAAGTTTTGTACTTCTGGGGACTGTTGAGAGACTCTAGTGTAAAATCATTGCTGAAAACTAGAGGCGCCACAGTTAAATTTCTGGCACCTGGGATTTGTCAAGCCCTGCAGTAGACAACAGTGACTTCAAGAGACAAGTGGTCTGACTCAGTAGAAGGCAGTTTTGCGTGTTCCATTTATAAAGCTGCAAAAGTATACTGAATGTTTGGCTATATGCAGGTGGTAATTTGCCATGGGATTTTGATGTTTGGTATGGCTTGCCTAATGTTCCCCAATGGAAGGAATGTTTGTGCTATCAGCTCCTGTGTAGTTAATAGCCGCCTTTGATTTTATACTACAGCAGTAATTCTGTTATGCTAAAAAAGTCTCTGTGTTCACTCTCACCTTGTATTGATTCCCATAAGCTCTGACCAAGCCTTCTCCGCTTCTTATTTTTCAGATAACTGGAGTTATCCTTCTTGCTGTTGGTACCTGGGGGAAGCTAACTTTAGGCACGTATATTTCTCTCATTGCTGAAAACTCTACTAATGCCCCCTATGTTCTCATTGGGACGGGTACCACAATTATTGTCTTTGGCTTGTTTGGATGCTTTGCCACTTGTCGTGGGAGCCCATGGATGCTGAAACTGGTGAGTATGTCAAAATAACTGATGGGTTAGAGTACTGAAATTGGTGTAACTGTTTTTTTCTTTTCTTTGTTGAAGTAGATGCTAACTTGGTTTCAGACACAGATGTATACACATACAGTAGGGTTGCCAAGTGAAATGTTTTTACCGGCGGGGGAGCCGTTCTTCGACGTGCGCATGCGCCGCCAGCACGTCACCAGAAGTGGCGTGCAACATCGATCACGTTGAAGGCGTGGCCCCGATCGTCGGAGGGAAACCCATAGAGTTTTCTCTCCAACGATCGGGGCCACGCCCCCAACATGATTGGTGTGGTTGCGTCACCTCTGGTGACGCAGCCACGCTGCGCTTCGGGGGGTGGAGTTCCCCCCGGAACCCGATTCCGTGGCGGCGGAAATCGGGCCTCCGAAGCGGGGGTTTAGCCGCCCCCCGCTCCCACTTCGCAGCCCTAACATACAGAGTGAGAAACGGTTATTACTTTATAATTATTAATTAAGCACAAGTCCAGTTGGGAAGTGCCCCCACCCTGTTTTGAGGTTCTGGGAGTGATTAATAAAATAATCCTATGATTTAGGGGTGATCTACATGCGCAAGCTACTTCATATTCCTTTCAGGGGCAAGCTAGATGTGTCTCTCTGGTGTTCTTTAATTTATTTTCCAGAAATAGGTTAAAATCTACTTTTGTAGAAACAGGATAGAATTAGAGAAGAATTATGCAAGCTTCAGTGCTGTCAGCTGTGTATGTGTCAAGTGCTGTCAAGTCTCAGCTGATTTATGATTACCCTGTAGGGCAGAAGTCCCCCAGCCCTTTTGAGCGGGTGGGGTGCCTTTTGAATTCTGACACAGTGTGGTGGGTGCATCCACAAAATGGCTACTGCAGGAAGTATGGCCAGTTACAAAATGGCTTCCACATAGTCGCACAGTAAAGATCCTTGTGCTGTGGTGGTAGCTGCTGCCAAAACAACATTTTTAAAAATCTGCACAGCCAACCAAATCTCCCATAGGCAATCAGAAGCCATGCTGAGCAAAGCCCCACATGGTCCCAACCCACTTGCTAAAAACACTTGGTGGGTACCTGGGTGGGCCCACAGGCAGTGTTGAGGACCCCTACCCTAGGGTTTTTACAACAAGAGACTAACAGGGTGGTTTGCTGTTGCCTTCCTCTGCATAGAGGCCCTGGAACTCCTTGGTGGCCTCCCATCCAAGTACTAACTAGGGCTGACTTTGCTTCGCTTGCAAGAGCTGATGAGATCAGGCTAGCCTGGGCCATCCAGGACAAGACAGTGCTCTTAGCTACTGTAGACAAATAGCACTTCAGTCTTTAAGTCTCTGAAGTCAATTTTAAGTATACAGTGAGTGGAAGCTGAAGACAAGGAGTCAAACAATATCTGGGCATTTTTATGGATAATGTTAAAAGCACCTTTGAGCTTTCTCATGTTGTTTTTTTGTATGCATGTGAAAGAAAGGCAAAAAGTAGAACTTTTTAAAAACCAAATGTACATATTTGCATAGACTTTAAATTGCAGATAGGAAGAGCAAAATATCACTGGTACCATCATGTGTGAAAGTCACAGTAAGAGACATATCACAAAGGGAAAAATACCAGCACATGCAAATTTGTGTCTTTAGGTTAACAGGATTGATCATACATAAACATTTTGGCTACAGTCCTGAGATCCGCACAGAAGAGATCAGTGGTGGTGTTTTGCAGAGTTTATCCTGGCAGCAGCTTTCAGCTAGCTTGCTTGAATGAAGAGAATCAAACAAACTGCCTGTGAAGCCAGCTGACAGCTACTGCTAGGAAAAGCTCTGCAAAAACTGCAAGTTTGCACACATTGCTTCCGTGTGACTCTCATGATTGTAGGAATCATGCAGAAGCGAGTCCCACTTAAATGGAATTTGTTGCCACATGGTATGTTTAAGATTCGGGTTTAGTTTGCTGGATTTTGCTTTTTTGCACACTTCCATTGAACACAGTGTCCTGCCTAAGTGATGATTCTGATAGCACCTAAGTTAAATATGCTGTTCGTAGGGTCTTTCTTCTGCAATAAAGATGTAGGCAGGCAATAAGTATGCGTATGCAGTTGATCAACACTTTGAATTCATGTAGAGTAGACATATCAGCTATCTGAGCCCAGAGCCCATGATATGAGAAGGGCCCAGAGCAAGTGACAATAATTCCCCTTTCATTCATGTTCACAGTAATGCTATAAGAGTACTATTATTATCCTCCCCCTTTTTATAAAGTTTCACCACCACCATGTTTGCTAGGACTAACTGCTGTTTTAAGGCATATGATTTGCCTATCAATCCCAGCCACAGTTCTAAATTCCAGTTAGGGAATGAAGCCCCAAGGATGTGGACTAGTCATTATCTCAGAGGTAGGGCTTATGAAGAACCAATCAGCAACATACGTATATGCTGATAACATTCCCCATTTCCCAAGCAAATAAAGATAAAAGGGAAAAATTTAGATTATTGCCCCAGATGAGCCTTGATTTAACATCTACCTAGTGACTGGTTGATTTGAGGAGAATGATGAATTTCTACTAACATCTCTCTTGGGGGAGATTGACTAGGAACGTCAGAAACCCAGAGCAGTTCAGAATTATAAAAAGTGAGTGGACGTTTTAAGGATGTTGTGTTAATTTCTTAAAGCAAGATTTTGAGTGTCAGGTTGGCCTACCTTGACAAATCATGGCTAACAAACCACGTTCATCACATCTGAACTGCAGTGTTTTGTCATAGGACACCTTATTAGGCTAAAGCAGATCTGTGATTTCCAAGAACCAGTTAACGCATCCCTTTTTTCTCACATTGAGAGTCATTTTTTTTTAATTAGCAAAAACGTATGGACTGCAAAGCATAAATGATTACAAGTGCCAGGATTAGTTTTGTAGAACTTCTGTATTTGAGGCATTCACATGCATATATGCTTTTTCTAGTATGAAGATATGGGGCAGGGGGAGAAATCAGGCAAGAACAAACTCTCAACGTATGCTAGGAACAGTTTACTGAGATAAACCCTATGTTTTTCAAGCTTGAAGCACTTTTTCAGGAACATCCGTAAACCAAGTGTATGAGCAATAGTAATTTAATGTGTAGAAGAAGAGGAAGAAGAAGAAGAAGAGATTGGATTTATACCCTGCCCTTCACTATCCAAATGTGTTTCAGAGCAGCTTACAAACTCCTTTCCCTTCCCCTCCCCACAACAGACACCCTGTGAGGTAGGTGGGGCTGAGAGAGCTCTGACAGAAACTGCTCTTTTTCAAGAACAGCTCTTACCAGAACTATGGCTTGCCCAAGGTCATCCAGCCAGGTGCAAGTGGAGGAGTGGGGAATCAAACCCAGTTCTCCCAGATTAGAGTCTGCGCTCTTAACCACTACACCAAACTGCCCAGCAGTTCGAGACCCTAGTGCCGCATGATGGAGTGAGCTCCTGTCTCTGGCCCCAGCTCCTGCCAACCTAGCAGTTCGAAAGCAAGAAATTGCAAGTAGATAAATAGGTACTGCTTCGGTGGGAAGGTAACAGCATTCCATGCGTCTCGGCATTTAGTCATGCCGGCCACATGACCACGGAAAAGTCTTCGGACAGCACTGTCTCCTCAGCTTGGAAACGGTGATGAACACCACCCCCTAGAGTCGGATTCAACTGGCTTTTGAGCAAGGGAAACCTTTACCGTTACCTTTAATTTAATGTGTAGTGTTAGGATATGGCACATATTTAAAGGTTGCCCTTTCTGAATTATTTTTTCAGCATTGTTTTAATAAGCGCTGCTGAATGATTCCATCCCTGAAACATGTCAGGTCTACTTGCAGCAAAGTGTTTTCTCAGCACTTGTTGAAGACTCCTCCTCACCCTGCCCCCCACTTGCACTATGTCACTTTTGGGTTGGAGAAAGGGGGAAGCGCTTAATAATTCGCCATTTGCCATTCATCTTTTGCAACTTTGGTACATGTAATAACATTCTATGTATTTTATTAAACTCTGTATTTCTTGGCATTCGCAAAGAGTGTTACTGTGATTGTCTTGTAGTTTTGTGTTCACTGTGCTTTTTTAGGGTTGCCCTGTTTCTTTAAAACTCTGTGTGTCTGTTTTGCAAAGGTTTAGTCAGAAATGTCTTTTTAAAAACAAAAACAAAATCCTGATTGAGGGAAAGGCCTCTGTAGTGCCAGTAGTCTCTTCCATGCCTGCTAACTGTCCTGCTTTTTTTCTTGGCTTTCAGTATGCCATGTTCTTGTCCCTGGTTTTCCTGGCTGAGCTGGTGGCTGGTATTTCGGGCTTTGTGTTTCGCCATGAGGTGAGTATCAATGACTTGTGGATAAAGATGGAAGCATGTCACTGAACAGCATTTGCTGAAGCCTCTTTGGGTAGTGGTATTATTTCTCAGTTGCCAAGTTCACTGGTTCCATATGTATTTCATATGATGCAGCTGTTTATACTTGGCAGTAAGATGTGCAGTTAAAAAAACAAACTGCTATCATTCCAAATGAAAGGGTTTAGCTAAAACCCCAGGCTTTTGGTGTTCAGTATTTACTTTCAAACTAAATTTCTTTATATGCTCATCATGTAAAATCTACTTTACCCTATTACATATGCTGAGGACTTCAAAATAGCTTACATTCTTTACAGAAGTGCTGTTATTTCACCCAGACAAGCATTTGATTATATAATGCAGAGAGGATTTCCAAGAATGCAAAGCCAAACTAAAATTACTGTTTTGCTGCTTTAAATCCTGCTTATTTCCCACATTACGAAGCAACAGCAAAGTTAGAAAGATTAAGAGGGAGTCAAAACTGAGTTAGTGAGGCACAATGGACTATATCCTAACAGCTTTTCTGCTTCCACAAGAGGGAGGAGGGGTGATTTTG